ATATATATATATATATATATTGATAGCAATCATTAATTAATAACATAATGGTAAGCAGTTTTTGGATATTAAACGGACTTCCGGAGTTCATTCTCAGGACAACTCGATCCGTTGGAAAACTAAAGACTTATTATTCAACAGTATAACATGCTATTTCTTGAAATATGAATAGATGAAAGTTCGAGTAAAATCCATTCCGATTATTCCAATATTTTAGGACTTAGTTAGCACTTTTTGTTTTGGGGTAGAAGGCAATGATATGGAGATGATTTGACCGACCTTGTTCCTGCCATGACATTTGCATAGGATAAAAGATCTTTGTATGTTATACTATTCAATTCTCGACGATGTTCCTCAGATACCGTCATTGCTTCTTCTCCGGGTCCCAAATATCTGGATCGATCAAAAGTTCAAATAGATTTTGGAACCGGTTATGGTTTAAATATTGGTTCTACTAAATCTTATAAATTTATACACTAATTTTTATGTATTTTTTTACATATAAAATAACATGCGCAAAAATGATTTGCAAGTGTGTAAAAGAAGGAGATTCTAATATTATAAATACATGAGTTTAATCATTTGAGAACTTTAAAATTTATGAGATCTGTGAGAACTTTTACTTTAAGATTTCATTTCACATGATTTTTTTTCCATCTAAGCATAATATTTAATGTATTGGTTAACATATATGCGTTTAACAATGTTTTGTTTCATATGTATTTAGTTCACAATACGAAACTTTTTACATGTATTTTTGTTTCAAAAACACACCAAAAAGGTTCACATTGTGAACCGAGTACATGTGAAACAAATTAAATACGTTATCAAACAAATATATGTTAATCAATATTTTAAATTCTAGTTTTTAAGTTAGAAAAAAAAATCACATAAAATGATAGATGATATACAAGTTGTTTTGAGGATGATGGTAAATTCATGTATATTTGTCCGGTTTATAACTCAAAGTCTAAAGTCTTGTCCATAATCCAGAAACTGCAAACGGCCTGATGACAGTTATGCTTTTATGAAACATAACCAGAGCGTGTTTCAGTTCCTACTGACTCAAAACTAATGGATAAGCTTAACAATTAAGCTCTGACCCCAAAACCAATGTCAAATCACTAGTATTTAGGAACCTCTAAACATCATCTGTCTCATTGCATGACGAACACAGTACATTTTGCAGACCACAACTAATTAATGTTCATGGAATTGATTCAAGAATGGTCATGTCTTTTAATTGCTTGTCCCCCAAACCCTATCTATATATACAATTTGCTCTTCATCCTTACATTCAAAATTAATATATACATTTTATATGTTTATGCTAATCGTGGTATGTATAATATAACTATCATTTATTGGGTAAGACTCTCGGTTATTGTCATCGCTCTTACCGGATAAGAATCTTGATTATTGCCATTGATAAGGTAATGTGACTTGATAAACATTTCTCAAGTAAGTGTTTGGTAAATAACCCCTTAGTTTTTTTAATAGAACATGAGAAATAAATATGTGTTATTAGCCTTTTTAATAAGATACCTTTAGTTGTAAGGCTTTTTTAAAAAGTGATTTGTAAAAAGGATGATAAGGCAATTTATTACTTGTATCCTCTTACTAAACGTTTACCGGTAAACGCGTATCGAATCATTTATCTTACCGAATGAGTATAGTAAGAAAAGAGGATCTTACACGGTAAGAGCGATGATAAAGATGAAGTGTCTTACCTGGTATGTGTAAGTCTTCACTAAATGTTTACCGGGTAAATTGTTGCATACAATAATGTTTTAATGGACTACAATCTTATCCGGTAAAGTAAGTTAGAGTGTTAACTCTTGGCTAAACATTTGAGTAAACGACCCTTTGGATTCCCTAAATTCGTTCTAGTAGAAGTTACTGTACTTGTTAAAGCTTGAAAAACCCATTAATTACTCTATTAATAAGACATCTTTAGCTAAAAAACCTGATTTTGTTATAGTATCATGTTTTGTTGACCAATTAAGATCATATGTAGTATCTGAATCTGTGGGTTTAGTTCTCTATCAACTACTTAATTGAAAATATTATGTATATATATATATATATATATATATATATATATATGAATTCAGCCTCAGTTTATAATGAATGATGATTAGTGACTTTGCATGATCTCATATCTTGAAATGAGTATTAATTAGTGTGTTACACCGAACCTCAAAAAGGTCATTAGGCAATCATCACATATTGTCTGTTTCCCCTTTCAAAAGGGATGATTTCGTAATTTACTCAAAACTTTTTATCAAAGAGAGAGAGGGTGGGTGGGTGGGTGGGTGGTGGTGGTGTGCCGTGATTAACGTGATGGGGTGGCTGGAAGAGGAGATTTTTGGGTGGTCAAGGTTAAAACACCACACCATATCCATATATATGTGGTGTCTATATATATACCATGGCCTTCAACTGTCAATTTTCACAACCTGCAAGAAGTTCATGACCTCCCATGGAAATTAATCAAGTGGTCAATTTTACAAGATTTAGTTTTCTTTAACATGTTAATAATATGATATCTCGAGCTCAAGATATCTTGTGTTCGACCATATTTTCTACAGGGACAGGTTCTAGGAATCTAAAATTGATTACAACACGACACATGGTGTATTCACGAGCAATATGAACATGTTAGATTCATGATGAATAAACATTTACATATTCATCCTGAAGAGGGACATATGACGTCCTATGGGCGTTCCTACGAGCGTTCCCAGGTTCTTGACTTTCACACCACTATCAACAAAAAGAAAAGAGCCATAAAGTTAAAAACTTATTCTAGTTTATGCCATAATTGCTGTAAATAGGAATCATTAATCAATGCAAATCGGCTTGCATTCTGGGTTCACGATCTATCAAACAAGATAAAAACAGAATTACGTAAATCATGAACCTTTTTGCACATGGCATTCAACAAGTTCAAGCCCACATCCTTTTCTTACTCTCTCGATCTTTGACTCCTTGAGTTGGTCTACTAATATGAACCGGTCTCTGAGTTACTGGTGCTGCTGGTTTAACCACTCTTGTTGAGCCTCTGTGGTGTGGTTTAGGTGGGTCAGACTTCCTCGACTTGTTGTCGTTGTTAAAAGTTGAAGGAACATCAACATTTTCTACTTCGCTATTTCTTGACAACCTCTTTCTTCGCAGTTCACCCCCATAGCTACCAAGAGAGTCGTTTCTCTTTGACCGATTATGGCTAGCAGCCGTTTGCCGGTTCATTAGATTTGAACTCCTTAAAATATGTTGTTCGGCCTCACCAACGAATTTGCATTCTTCACGGGGTGTCGATCTCATGGAACTAGAGGAATCTGCAATCGTAGCAATAGACATTCGCCTTTCTTGATCTTTAAGCTTCTTCTCAAGCTCCTTAATCTGCAAATGGAGAAATACATAGCATTAGAACAATGTGATAAATTTGGGTTTCATAATGGGAACCCATCAAATGAAAAGGTTATATCAGAAAAGCATGACCTTCATATGGAGTGAGGTTGTATCAGAATTTTGTTCCTGTTCTTTCAGTTTCCTTTCAAGTTCCTCGATCTGAAACAGCAAAAAAGAGAGAAAAAAACAATCTTTATTTCCCAAATTCTGCACAACCTTGACATGGATAAACATACGCTAAGTAAAATTTAAATCTTTACCTTAGCTTGAAGGGTCGCGGAGCAGGATGTTGACTCTTTGACTTGCGCTTTCAATTTCTCTTCAAGGTCCCTGACCTGCTTTCAAGATTCCAAATTTATGCTTTGGCGGTTTTTAAATTTTTGGAAGTAATATGTTATAAAAAATATATCAAAATTACCTTCTGTTGGTACGTTCCAACACCTGATTCTTTCTCTGTAAGCTTGTTCTCGAGCTCCTTGACCTTTATTTCAAATAAAGATGCTATCAATATAAGATCGAGTTGGGTACATTTGACAATCATATAGAACAGAAATGATGAAATTACCACCTTTTGTTGGAGCCCGCTGTTGAATTCTTCTTTCGCCCTCAACTTTTCAGAAAGATGTTGAACTTGTTTTTCTAACTGAGAGTGTAATCCTGTTTTCAACTCAACCTGGCCCTCAAGTTCTTTAATCTTTTCGAGCTGGTTTTTATGCATTTGATCTTTTCCTCTACTCTTGCTTTCTATGTTCTGTAAACTTTCTTCTAACTTCCTCAACGACTCGTCTTTGAGACGTGATTCTTGCTTTGCTTTATCAAGCTTCATTATAAAATACCAAACAGCCAAAATCATAAACTAACTTCTGATAGAATGTGAAAAAATCATAAAAACATGAAGATGTAGCATACTTACCATCGTTTTCAATTTCTGAAGCTCACCCGTATCAATTTGCTTTTTAGCAGGACCTAACTCAACTCCTCTGACCCTCGTTGCAAAGTTCAATGAACTCAAAGTCTCGCTCACATCGTGTTCTGATGGACTAATTTGCACAAACATTAATGTTTTTGAGTCACCCCCTGCAAGTACCAAAAAGAAAAGCTTGAATCATTTTTAGAGGTCCTTTTTTGGGGGTATATGCCCCTTAATCTTGTATATACACAAATGGAAGTTACCTAATGAATCCTGAAGTAAATGTGTGAGCTTTGAATTCCTGTACGGAATGTGACTGCTTTTATTTGCTAAAGCAGATATAACATCTCCGAGAGCAGAAAGAGATCGATTGATGTTTTGAGCCTCCTTGAGACGTTCGCCTTGAGCATCCGTCTTTGCAAGTCTCTCGCTACCTGCCAAATCCACAAGCCATAGCTTGCTCTTGGTGCACTCACCGTTTAACAAGTTCTGTGCTCTTACCATAATAGAAAGCATGCTAAACAAGACAATGGAAAACGAAACCAATATCAAAAATAAACATCAAAAGAGAGAATACATATATGCCATAGAAGCATTATTTTTTTTACCAATGAGAACGGCTGCTATGCTCGTTCACGTTATTGGATCCAACAACTCGAGCACTGCTTCCGGCTTGCAGTACATTCCAGACTTCCTTWATATTTTCAACTTTTGCTTCAACTAGCCCAGGAATATTATGAAAACCTTCAGAAGCTTGTTTTATTTCCAGCCTACATTTTCAAGAAAATTTATAACTCAAGAAGGTATTTTAATGCATTTAGTTCAAGAAGAYAGGTGAATAGCTGTTTACTTCTTGGAGGATGATGATGGTGTTGCCAGAAGATCCCTTATTTGTTCATTGTAGACTTCAAGCACACTAACTGATATATTGTAGGTAAAAGTGTCAGATTCTCTCTTTCGAAATTTTAAACAACTCTTCAAGTGTCCTGTAATTCACCCCTCGATTTCCCTCTGTACCCTCCATGGTGAATGTCTTTCCCGTTCCCGTTTGCCCATATGCAAATATGCATACATTGTACCCATCCAAAACTGAAGTTACCAGCGGTGAAGCATGTGCAAAAACATCAACTGTTTAAGATAATAAACGACAAGGTGTTAGGATATRATTTATGCAATCAAWCTYAATTCAATTAAAGACCCTATCAAATCAAATCAATTCAATTAAAGATTAATCAAGCACAAAGGAACCTTGATGGTCACTCGGTGTAAAGACCCTATCAAATCTGAAGGTCTTCTTRGTGGAACCGCTATTTAGAACCCCAAGTTCTCCATTCGCTGCTGCATCAAAGTCTACAACTGTTGAGCACCCAGCTGAAGCTTCTGTTTTGCTTAGTGGACGACAACGGCAAAACACCCTTATATTTCCTGATAATAAGTAAYAAGTAAAAATAAGTATGCAACAGCATAGTGTTTGTATATTGTATTATGAGGCAGAAAATCCATAYGAACTTCATCTTTTTGTTACTAAAGAAAAAAAATTCACACCTTTCGCATCCTCAATTTGATTATGAARCTTTCTTCTCTTTGCTTGTTCTTCATTGTACTTCATTTTAAGATCCTCACACTGCGCAACTATAAAATGAAAAGAAAAAGATCAACCAGAAGACTTCAAAAAACAAAACTGAAATTCAAACACCATATCAGGTCTAMATTTCAACTCCCACTAAGGTGCTATTAATTATTGCCATCATGCCCATTGGTCAAAAGGCCTAAAGTTCCGTGCCATGTTATTTAGATCAGGAACTGTGTCAGCGCATTGGGCCAAAAGTGGCAGAACCATGGTTATTATGAATCTTGTGGTGCTAGTTTGGGCCAAAATCATACTCAAAAAGTTCCGTTTGGGTGTTCATGGATCTTGTGGTGCTAGTTTGGGCCAAAAGTGGCAGAACCATGGTTACAATGAAAGAATAAGTTGCTTACCCAATGCTTGAACTGCAGAAACCATATTATTTAGATCAGGAACTGTGTCAGCGCATTGGTGTGCTTGAAGAGAGAGCTGGGAGTGGTCTTGTTTCAAGACCTGATTAACAGATTATGTTAAATGGGTAGAAAAGGTAAATTTTAATTTAAATGGGTAGAAAAGGTAAATAGTTGTGCTAATTACCATTATTCTGTGTGATAATTCCTTGACTGCAGCAACCCAGATCTTCCTGTCATGTTCATATCTACTTGACAAGTCCTTCAACTGTTCAKATTGTTTCTCCATCTTTTGGTCTAATCAAGAAAAGAAGGAAGTCGGTAAGCATACAAAATCATAACACAAAAACATACTTCTGGGCTCTGGCCAAAAATGAATACAATGTTTGACTGGACACCAAGTGTTTGACTATAAAAAAACAAACATATGAAGTCTATCTCAAAAGAGGAATTATGTGTAGGAAGCACATGAAGAAGGTGCACGGTTTGGATGTYTCAGAATAACTAAAATTTGGGGGTGGCACACATGTATGAAATAAAGTTCATTATATAAAATAGACAACTAACCAAACAAATACATACGATTGAAGTATTTGAGCCCATGCTAAGTAATCCATCAACATTCTTGTTGATTTGAACTATATATATTAATGTCATGTCCTACATGACCACAAACCSAGCAAGGAAATGCAAACAAATAACAGCAAGCAAAGAAGGAATCCAGCAAGCAAAATCCAACCATTTGKACAACGGGTGCGAGTGTTTTGACGTTTTTGCAACCATACATACAAGAGATGTGAAAGCAATTTAAGTATGATTTTCCCTTCTTGGATCTGAAAGTCTGGAAGCCTTGCAACAAGAACGTAAAATGACAAAAAAATGTGCTAAACTCTCTCYAGAAACAAGTTGGACAGCACCCTGCCTCGCCCTCCATATTCTAGTGTTTCTTTTCCAGTTCACTAAATGAATGCACMGCTGATATGAACGCAATTTACACCCAGTGTTTATTGGCACTTAACTCAAGTATTGGTGGTGCTTCATTGCTTGTGGAGAAAAGCAACGATATTATGTAGTAGTTASTAATGTACCAAATAGGTAGCTGTGAATTGCTTCAATCATTATGGAACATGTCAAAAAGAAAATYGTTGCATGTACTTTAGGATATAGGTCGTAACCATGTYGGACCTAATCTTACCAAGAGAAGATGTCTGGAACAACCTATTGTCAAGTTCCATGCGGACCTTCTCCAGCTGCTCGTTTGCTGCAGTCAAAGACATCCAAGCTTGATAACATTCATCGGTCTTACGCTGACACTGACTAGTCAACTCTTGTATCCTCTTCTCATACTTCTCTATTGATTTCTTTCGCATTACTTTCTTCTGCAATATTCAGTAACATCAATGCATTAACAAGGACCATACCTGAACTGAAGGGACTTCTATATCAGCAGCACAGTTTTGACATCTTAGAAAATCATGTATTACATCATCATCTGCGAATAGAGAAGGGGGGTTTTAATTGAAGTTACTCTTCATAATTACCATTATGATTAAGATTTTTAGCAAAACTTTAGCTACCAGGAAGTTTAGGAGCTCTTCTTATGCAGATTCCACTGACCAAAGGGCTACCAGTGATCCCTTCAAACCTAATTACAATCGCCTCGCCSATCTTGACAGAGACTCTCGAGTCAACTAGCTGCAATGGTCTATTGGCTCCGACTACGGAGAAGATGTCAAAATCTGCAAGAACCTGTTAAGAATTTAACATTTTTTGTAAATTCCAAATTTTGGTTTGTGGTAGCTTTTTGAAGAATTTAACATTTTAGAAGTACCATCGAACTTGCCTTCTCTTCCTGCAAATATACATTGAAAACTCTCAACCCTTTCGGACCAAATGTGTTTATCATCTCAACAAAGTGAAGATCAACATAGTAATCTCCCTCTGGCAGATTGTCAAACCTATACTGAAAATTCCCTAGTCTCGCTGTGCGGTAAATGAAAGAAACATCACCACCCTCAGTTATACACTCATTCGTTTCAAATACGTCGCCCCCTTCAAAAAACTTATCCGCCACAAAGTTCATATTCGAATCCAGTTCCACTATGGTTTTGGCTCCAGCATTTACAAAAAGAACTACTTCATCTGATGCAAAAAAAGAKAACACAATAATGTCAATATGTTTACAGATTTACTCTTTGTTGATTGCTTGAATCTGTCATTTTGAACTGGGGTTTGAACATCCAAACATAGTCCAATCTTATTGGTAACCTGAAGTACTAATTTTTGGTAAATCTGAACGAGATAACCTAGACTCYAAAAGGCCCAAAGATATTTATTTTTCCGAAGCTTTGGACTTTGAACTAACAAATGCGCAATTTAGACAAGTACGCCGATGTGAAGTAGAAATCAGTCAAATTCTAACCTGTAGAGTTCGACATCATAAACCCCTTTGGAATTAGCCTGGAAATCGAATCACAAACCATGTAATCTGAGGAAGATTCTTCATCTTTGTCCGCCATTGAAACCCTACCTAAGGTTTTATTCCAATCAAGAACGCCATCCGCGCACAAGAG